AAATAAGTTCAATTAAATAAACGAATTCAGCAAATAAATGTAATTGTACTAAAATGTAAATGTTGGACAATAAATATATAACAGCAATAGAATAGCTTTACACTACAGCAAACTGTTTTTTTGCAGTACTATTTTATATTAATTTTCTTCTTCAGAACCGGTGCCCAGTTAACCAATTCCCTGGAACCGTTAGTATGCCTGCTTAACGATCCGCTTATCGGTTCCAACCTCCAATATGCAGAAACATTTGGCCACACATCATGAACAGACTTTAGTCCCATGAAACTTAAACTGGAATGTCACTGTTTCTATCACTGCGACTTCACGAACGGGTGAACACGCGCACGCACACACACACACACACACACACACATCAATTGCAGTGCATGTAATGCATCGAGGTAACTCGTTCCATGAATGTGTGTGTAAATACGTGTGAATTTATATGGGAACGTGTATGTGCAATATAAGTACAGAATTAAGGATAAAACTTTGTGAATTTTACATGTAATGCTTTTTTTGTCTTCATTTATAAATATTTTATATGTATTAGGCTAATATATAGCCAAACATGATCAATGCATATATTGCTGTATACTGAAGAATACAAGCACTCGTTTCCCATATATGGAAATGTATTATGAAATATATAGCAGTATATTGTTATTTATTATTGTTTCAGTAAGGTTGTCCTCAAAAAATGGTTGACCTTCCGGTGTAGGGGTTAGGGATTAACCTTTGACCTTGTTATCCCTCGATCACGTGTTTTTGACAGAAGATTTGACCTATTGGCTGTCCTAGTCATATGTCATGTAGTTTTGATGAATGTTTGAAGACGGTGTGAAGAAGGGTTATATAGGATGTGTGTCACAGGTTGTTTTTGTTTGTTTTATTTTATCACTTCGGGGTACGCGAACCGGATTTCCAACAAGGCTTTATCTGTAGAGTGGGAAAGGGATCCTCCACAGGGAAAGGCTAGTGGACACTTCAGCACTGCATTGTCATCGGGTCCAGGCGAATCTCCTTCGTCAGATCTGGACACGGCCTGGATCCGGCAGGCTGCGGGAAAACCTCGGGATAAACAAAGACACTAAAGTTAGCGTAGATGCCATTCTTCTTATGATGTAGCGAGTACATCTGGATTTAAGGGAAGTGTTCCCAGTTCCGGCTGACCTAATCTATGCAGCCTCACATTGAATTTATAGAAGTCTATAATGTATTATGTGTATGCTAGGTCAAAGAGATGTGTTTTTAGTCTAGCTTTGAACTGACCGAGTGTGTCTGCTTCCCGGACAATGGTAGGAAGACTGTTCCAAAGTTTTGGTGCTAAATAGGAAAAGGATCTCCCGCCAGCAGTCGATTTAGATATTCTAGGTATTATCAACTGGCCGGAGTTTAGAGATCGCAATAGACGTGAAGGACTATAATGCGTTAAGAGCTCGCTCAAGTACTGCGGAGCTAAGCCATTTAGTGCTTTGTAAGTAATCATCAATATTTTAAAATTTATACGATGTTTAATAGGCAGCCAATGCAGTGTTGACAGAACCGGGCTAATATGGTCATACTTCCTGGTTCTGGTAAGAACTGGAGCGGCTGCGTTTTGAACTAGCTGGAGTTTGTTTATTAAGCGTGCAGGGCAACCACCCAGTAGAGCATTACAATAATCTAGCCTTGATGTCATGAACGCACGAACTAATTGTTCTGCATTTGTTAATGAGAGCATATGACGTAATTTTGCAAGTTTTGAATTGCAGCTATTTGTGACGGATCAGGTTGTTTTTGCTGAAATATATCGACCGCCAACATACAACAGGGATTTCATTGGCGAATTTTCTGAGTTTTTAAGTGAAATTGTACTGAAATACGACAGATTACTATTAGTGGGTGATTTTAATATACATGTGTGCTGCCCTACAAAACCTTTGGTAAGAGATTTTTTGAATGTCATCGATTCTTTTAATCTTCTACAGCACGTCCATAAACCGACTCATGTTCAAGGTCATATCTTAGATTTAGTTCTGACCTTTGGTCTATCTATTTCTGATATTAAAATATCAGATCAAGCGTTTTCTGACCACAAGTCAATTATTTTTAAAGTGTTTATATCTCATGAAATTGATAAATCCAGACCTCAAAGCCAATTACGTCGGGCTCTAAATGCCGAAGCTATAGACCAATTTAAAAATCTATTTCATGAAATAAACCCTTTTTATTTAATGGACAGTCTCTCTCATAACATGGATCTAGATTCCTCACTTGAGATGTTATATTCTGTTTGTTTACCATTCTTGGATTCAGTAGCTCCACTTCATGTTAAAAAGTGCACAGTTAGACCCGAACCCTGGCTAAATAAAGTGACTCGTGAGTTAAGGAAAATCTGTAGTAAATTTGAACGAAAATGGAAAAAAGATAAGCTACAGATATCGGTTCGAATGCTACGCGAATCTCAACTACCAAAATGCTGTAAAGATGGCTAAGATAAATTACTTTGCAGATGCAATTGCTAGAAATAGTAGTAGGCCGCAAGTTTTATTTAATATAGTAAACTCTGTTTTTAATCCAAAAACTGATGTGTTATCTCATCCTCTCCTTATCACTTGCGAGGCCTTTTTGGATTACTTTGCCCAAAAGATCTCTGAGATTAGATCCACGATCGAACCAAGTTCGTTTGATCCTTCAGTTGCCCGGACATTATCTGTCAGTTTTGATCATTTTGAAATGATCTCCCTGCAGTCACTAACCGAGATAATTAAACAGTCAAAATTAACTGACTAGAATAGTAAAAACAAATAGAGTTGTTGTGGGATTGCTTACATGACATTAAATCATGGCTATCTTTAAAAAATTTTAAGCTTATGTAGCGATTGCCCCAAAACTCTGATATGACCTACCCATTTCTATTAGATTAGAACCTAAATTAACAGTTTTTAAACAAAAGCTAAAGGAATATCTTCTAGATTTAGCATTTAACGGGGTATAGTAGCTGAGCTGTTCTTGTGGGTTTTCTAGTTGAGCTGTTTATTTTATTGTCACTTAACTGTGGCGTAAACTTCTGTGTTTTGTATGTTGTGTTTTTTGTCTCCATTCTTGTACAGCACTTTGTTCAACGACCAGTTGTGTAAAAGTGCTTAATAAATGAAATGAAATGAGAGCATACGGTGTAATTTAGAAATGTTTTTAAGATGGAAAAATGCAGTTTTACAGATACTAGACACGTGACTTTCAAATGAAAGAGCACACACACACACACACACACACACACACACACACCCACCCAGGTTCCTAACCGATGACATCATCTGACATGTTTAGAGAGATGAAGAAAACATACAGGTTATGAACGTTTCACAAAAATAAAATCATCTTACATTTTTAGAGAGTTGAAGAAACAATGCAACACATGAAAATGGGGTCGCAAAATTTGCAATGTTTAGATAAAATAAAAATCATCGTACAACTTTTGTAAGTCTTTACGGTCTCTGCGTCCATATTATATATCCTATGGTCTGTTTTTTCCTGAAGGGCCTCTTTTCACACGGCGTTTGGCCTGCGGGCTCTAACTCACTGATCACAGCAGCAGTCAGAGGGGGACGTGTGTGTGTGTGTGTGTGTGTGTGTGTGTTAGGGATGGGCATTCGATTAAATTTTCTTAGTCGATCGTCGGGAGAATTAACGATCGACTATCGATTAATCATTAATATTTTTTATATATTAAAATTAATTATTTATTTAACTTTTTATAAATTAAAAATGCAATGAAAATACAAAAATACAGCGTGTTTTTCCTCGATGGGATCTTTATTACAAGATAATCAACTTGCGGCAGTTAAACTGGACATTCGGCTAAACTTGAAATATGCGCTGCGGTGCTCTAAAAAGCAACAAAACCTGCAGCTGCGAGTTGGCGTCCTCAAACAGAGACCCGATCGTTTGTTCCAAAATAATAATAAAAAAAATCATGTTAAACAATAACTTAACCAAAAACATAATAATACTCAATGTAACTCAAAACTATCCAAGGTACGAAGTCGAGAAAGAGTGTGAGAGAGATTAGCCTACCTAGCAACAAATTAGGCTACTTAACAAAGCCTCAAAAAAAATATCTATTAACTCACATAAAACTTCTGCACCAGTCTACTGATTTTTGTTGAGAAAGATAAGCATGTTGATGACATGGACTGGGCCTGGGGTCAGACGCGACCGCCACATGGTGACCGTCAAGCCTCGTTTATACTTTTGCCTGGCTCTGCAGCGTGAGTCTCCGCAAACGGACGAGGCGTTTATACTCCACGCGCTCGCCTGTAAAACGCCGAATACCGCAATGACGTCATTTTTGCCTCGCGCACCTTTGCTCGTGCTTGTGCGGACGCGTCGAGGTCGAGTGTAAACAAACTCTTCAGTCCAGCCGCCGAAAACACCCGCTCTGAGGGGACTGACGTTGCCGGGATGCACAGGTACCTCTGCGCTAACTTGACCAGCCCGGGAAACAACTTATTCCGTTCACTTTCCACCCGTCTGCAGTGGTGCAATCCAGCGGTTCATTGCTTCAAGGCTCACATTACGCAACGCAACCATATTACATTTACATTTACATTTAGTCATTTAGCAGACGCTTTTATCCAAAGCGACTTACAACTGAGGACTAAACCAAGCGAGTCATCGTGAAGAGGCAAAAGCAACGCAAGAAGTGCTCAAAATACAAAGTTCAGACATAGCTCGGAGAAGCATAAGCCAGGCAAGCGAGGATTTAGAGGAAAGGATTTTTTTTTTTTTTTTTTTTTTTTTTTTAGTTTTATCGATAACAAATTAACATGATCGACGAAATTCTTAATGATCAATTATCGATCGTCGATTAATAATGCCCATCCCTAGTGTGTGTGTGACAGGTCTGTTTTTCCCTGCGGGCTCTTAGTCGGGTCATCTATAGCAGTTCCATGACCGTCGAGAGCAAAGGTTCGTTTCTCACTGGATTTGTCATCTATAAAAGTAGTAATTATACTTTAGCTTATGTCAAACAATTTATGACCCCTTGATTGATGGTTTTGACAGATGTTTATGACAGGATATGAGTATGGGGATATGAGGATGGGATATGAGGATGGGGATATGAGGATGGGGATATGAGGATGGGATATGAGGATGGGGATATGAGGATGGGGATATGAGGATGGGATATGAGGATGGGGATATGAGGATGGGGATATGAGGATGGGGATATGAGGATGGGGATATGAGGATGGGGATATGAGGATGGGGATATGAGGATGGGGATATGAGGATGGGGATATGAGGATGGGGATATGAGGATGGGGATATGAGGATGGGGATATGAGGATGGGGATATGAGGATGGGGAAATGAGGATGGGGATATGAGGATGGGGAGGGGTTTATGACAGGATATGAGGATGGGGAGGGGTTTATGACAGGATATGAGGATGAAGATATGAGGATGGGATATGAGGATGGGGATATGAGGATGGGGATATGAGGATGGGGATATGAGGATGGGGATATGAGGATGGGATATGAGGATGGGATATGAGGATGGGGATATGAGGATGGGGATATGAGGATGGGGATATGAGGATGGGATATGAGGATGGGGATATGAGGATGGGGAATGAGGATGGGATATGAGGATGGGGATATGAGGATGGGGATATGAGGATGGGATATGAGGATGGGGATATGAGGATGGGGATATGAGGATGGGGATATGAGGATGGGGATATGAGGATGGGGAGGGGTTTATGACAGGATATGAGGATGGGGAGGGGTTTATGACAGGATATGAGGATGGGGATATGAGGATGGGATATGAGGATGGGGATATGAGGATGGGGATATGAGGATGGGGAGATGAGGATGGGGATATGAGGATGAGGATGGGGATGTGAGGATGGGATGTGAGGATGGGGATATGAGGATGGGGATATGAGGATGGGATATGAGGATGGGGATATGAGGATGGGGATATGAGGATGGGGATATGAGGATGGGATATGAGGATGGGGATATGAGGATGGGATATGAGGATGGGGATATGAGGATGGGATATGAGGATGGGGATATGAGGATGGGGATATGAGGATGGGATATGAGGATGGGGATATGAGGATGGGGATATGAGGATGGGGATATGAGGATGGGGATATGAGGATGGGGATATGAGGATGGGGAGGGGTTTATGACAGGATATGAGGATGGGGATATGAGGATGGGATATGAGGATGGGGATATGAGGATGGGGATATGAGGATGGGGATATGAGGATGGGATGTGAGGATGGGGATATGAGGATGGGGATATGAGGATGGGGATATGAGGATGGGATATGAGGATGGGGATATGAGGATGGGGATATGAGGATGGGGATATGAGGATGGGATATGAGGATGGGGATATGAGGATGGGGATATGAGGATGGGATATGAGGATGGGGATATGAGGATGGGATATGAGGATGGGGATATGAGGATGGGGATATGAGGATGGGATATGAGGATGGGGATATGAGGATGGGGATATGAGGATGGGATATGAGGATGGGGATATGAGGATGGGGATATGAGGATGGGGATATGAGGATGGGGATATGAGGATGAGGATGGGATATGAGGATGGGGATATGAGGATGGGGATATGAGGATGGGATATGATTATGGGGATATGAGGATGGGGATATGAGGATGGGGATATGAGGATGGGATATGAGGATGGGGATATGAGGATGGGGATATGAGGATGGGGATATGAGGATGGGGATATGAGGATGGGATATGAGGATGGGGATATGAGGATAGGATATGAGGATGGGGATATGAGGATGGGGATATGAGGATGGGGATATGAGGATGGGGATATGAGGATGGGGATATGAGGATGAGGATGGGATATGAGGATGGGGATATGAGGATGGGATATGATTATGGGGATATGAGGATGGGGATATGAGGATGGGATATGAGGATGGGGATATGAGGATGGGGATATGAGGATGGGGATATGAGGATGGGGATATGAGGATGGGGATATGAGGATGGGGATATGAGGATGGGGATATGAGGATGGGGATATGAGGATGGGGATATGAGGATGGGGATATGAGGATGGGGATATGAGGATGGGGATATGAGGATGGGGAGGGGTTTATGACTATCAGGTGGTGTGTGAGCTTTTGGCCAGGCATGTTTCCGGAGTGTTTATGATGTGTGTTTATGACTCCTCAATCTGCTTGGTGTGACTGTTTTCCAGGGGAATGTCTTTTATTATTGAGGATAATATCCACAGAATGATGGAATTATGAACATGAAGAGGTCTGACACGGATATGATTTTCAGCTGGATCAGCGATGTCTGTGGGAGAGAATGAAAAAGAGTTTAAAGAAATAGCATGGATGACAAATAAAGCTTATAAAATAAAACTTCATTTGATTAAGCATTTAAAAGTAAGTTTTATACATGTGTTGAACTTGATGAGGTGATCGTTATGCGTCTATCTGGATAGTCACAGAATCTTAAATCTTCCTGAGCAGATGAAATGTTATAAAGTAGGTTTTCAGAAAGAAAAAGCATTGCATATAAATAATCATATAAATATTAGATAAATTAAATAAGATGTTAAATTATCCACAATATACTGTCTCACACAGTTAAATAAAACATAAAATAGTTCATATTATTTGAAAGAAGATGTTAAATTATCAAGTATAAGCATTTTAATATAATACACCACAATATACGGTCTTACACAGATAAATAAAACATAAAATAGAGAATAATAGTTCATATTATTTGAAATAAAATGTTAAATTATCAAGTAAAAGCATTTGAATCTAATAAACCACAATATACTGACTTGCATAGATAAATAAAACATAAAATAGAGAATAATAGTTTGTATTATTTGAAATAAGATGTTAAATTACCAAGTATTTTAAATTAGTTTTAAACATGTTTGAAGTGTACCTACATTGGTGAAATTAGGAGGTCTTTCTGGCTCTGGTTAAAATCACAGATCCTTGAATTTCTGAGGTGAAGAGATGTTTGCTCTCCGTTTGCTAACTTGAAAATGAAGATTGCTTCCATCATGGCTGGGGCCCCGGGGACCGCTCCTTCCTCTCTGTGTAGCTGCTATGTGTTAGCATTAGCAGTTTGTTTCAGGAAACATCAAGCAATTAAAAGATAGTGCGGCCACATGGTGTTTTACAATCAAAGACCACAACTGTCTCCAACCATAAAATCTTCTGATGTGAAGCATTCCTGTCTGGCGGGGAGACCCCAAAATGGGGCCATTTTGACACTTCACACGGCTGTAAGATCAACATAATTAGATGTTTATACCGGTGTCTTCAGGAAAAGTCAAAGCAAAATGGCCACAAAGTTACATATAATATAGCCTACTCTTTGTTATGATAAGATAAATTGTCCTTATTTCCTGGGGAGTTGTCCCCCATCCTGTTTTTCTCGACACCTCAATGACTCTTTTTGAAGAGCAGATTTATTTTTCTAACATTTAAACTTAACACATTATTAGAACACCCTCTGACTTTATGAATACACATAAATGACAGCTTAATGATTTTTTTATATTTTTGTGCATTTATTTAAAGTCTGCATGCGGGCCTACCATTCTGACACAGTGGTGTCTTGGTGTCATTATGGACTCTGAACTCTGTTTAACTAAACAAATTAATGCAGTTGTCAAAAACAGTTTTTATCAGTTACGGATAATTTCGAGACTGAAATCATTTTTAAGTCTTAATGATCTGGAGAAAGTCATTCATGCTTTTATTACTTCACGTCTCGACTACTGCAATTCATTATACTTGGGTCTTCCTCAGTCATCCATTGCACGCTTACAGATGGTACAAAATGCTGCTGCTAGGTTGTTGACTGGGGCAAAGAAAACAGATCACATTACACCGGTTTTGGCCTCTCTTCATTGGCTTCCTGTCTATTTCAGAATTCAATTTAAAATTTTGTTGTTTGTTTATAAAGCTCTCAATGGTCAAGCTCCGTCTTATCTCTCAGATCATCTTATTCCCTTTTCATCCTCCAGATCATTAAGATCTTCTGATAGAGCTCTCTTAGTTGTCCCTCGTTCACGCCTAAAGACAAAGGGTGATAGGGCTTTTTCTATTGCGGCCCCCCGACTCTGGAACCAACTACCAATGGACATTCGTCTTGCAACGTCTATCACAACCTTTAAAATGAAGTTGAAAACTTATTTTTATTCCCAGGCATTTTAAATTTTTTATGTTTCATTGTTTATTGTATCGTATGTGTTGTTTATTTCATTTTATTCTTTGACTTTGTTCAGCGCTTTGGTCAGCTTTGCTGTGATAAATGTGCTATATAAATAAATTTTACTTACTTACTTACTTAGTGTTACCTTACTTCTTTGATAATATTAAAGGTTTTTGTGAAATATTATTTCTAATTTTTTCAGCACATGTAGTCAGAGTTACAGAAAATAATATTAGTGCTACAAATAAGGAGATTATGTTTTATTTATTTTAATCAGGTTTGTTAAAAGTATCCCTGAATGATGTTAGTTAATCTGCGCTGACATGTATTTGCTATAACAATGAACATATTTTAAAAAACCTGTTAAAATCAAGTAATGATGCAATCCTTTAGATCTTAACTTTGAGTGCAACAGAATTAAATGAATGTAAAATTATCAGATCACATGTGACATTAACACGACAGAAATGACAGTAACACCAATGACACAACGAATCACCAATGCCACACATAAGAGCATAATTAGATGAGACTAAATTGTTACATTTGGCATACAATCTAAATGAATAGCTTTGAATAAAGTTTATCTTTAAATGGGGTTCACCATAAGAAAAGTGACATCAGTGACAAATTTCATGAAATTTCATTTTACAAAATGTATGATACAAGATGTCAAACCACATCTTGTCAATCGTAGTATAATAACCAAATTAAGTAGTTTAATCCACAATTTTTAAATATCATTTACATAATATATTTGATAATTATGTGTACATTATTGTATTTTAAATTTGGAATAAACTTGTCATAGGTATTAAATTAAAGCATTTTCCCTCTATACATGACTGTGGGGCCGAGCACATCTGTGGTGCTTGAAGCTTTATTTTAAAATGTAAAGAAATTGTAACCCTAAAGTGTTTTTTAAAGTGAAGAATTTCAAATTAGTGACCATTGTTGTGTTTCTTTTAATTTGTCACTTACCACGATGCCTGCTGTCTGTAATGTTGTAACACAAAAACCCATCATTAGTGAGACAACACTTAGTGATTTCTCGGCCTCTTTTGACTCTCGCTCCTTTGTTGAATGTGATGTTGATTCATTTGTGCAAGTTTTAACAACCACTGTCTGTCGGTTTTGGATATGATAGCGCCTGTTCAAAAGATTTCAGGGTCACAGAAGAAGGCCCTTCCATGGATAAATGATAATATTTGTAGTTTTAGGAGAAAATGTCGTAAGACAGAGCGTCTGTGGGAAGGTACACAGACTCCATTTAAAAGACATGATGCTAGATCTGAATGAATTGATAAAGCAGTCTCGCTTTGGGATTTTTCTTATTTCCTGACACAAGATTAGAAAAATAGTCTTGTTTGACACCATTGAAAATCTTACTGTGCCTCCGGCTCCTCTTGTGCCTGTGTACACACATGAGGACTGTAACAACTTTTTGACGTTTTTTTTTAACAAAGTACACGACATTAGGGCCAGTGTAAATCCTTGTTTTATTGAGTTCTCACCGGTGTCGTCTTGGTCGTCCTAATTGATCTGCCACTTAGATCTGGCTCAGTCACCAACTACTTCAAACACACTGTGGTAAATCCGATCCTTAAAAAGTCCAATCTTGACCCTTCAGAACCTAAAAACTATAGGCCCATATCGAAACTTCCATTTATATCCAAAATTGTGGAAAAAGTAGTGGCATGCCAGCTGACCTCCTTTATGGAGCAGCACAATCTGTTTGATACTTTTCAATCTGGCTTTCGAAAATTACACTCCACTGAAACAGCCCTTATCAAAGTCTCCAGTGATGTGATGATGGCAGCAGACTCTGCCGCTACACTGTACTTGTACTTCTTGATTTGACTTCTGCTTTTGACACTGTGGATCACGGTATACTGATCAATCGCCTTAATAATGACATGGGACTATCAGGATCTGTCCTTCAGTGGTTCTCTTCCTATATTCATGACAGAATCTTTAATGTTGCTGTGACGAATGTACAGTCTGATGTGACCAATTTGTCCTGCGGAGTGGCACAAGGTTCAGTTTTGGGTCCTATTTTGTTTTTACTGTACATTTTGCCACTTGGTCAAATTATCGGTTGTTTCAAGGATGTATCGTACCATCTCTATGCTGACGATGTTCAGTTGTATTGTTCTTTTAATGAGGCTGAGTTTCATCGTTTGTCTCTGTTTCTAGAGTGTGTGTCCTCCATCAAAGACTGGCTAGCCACGAACTATTTGCAGATAAATTCAAACAAGACTGAAACGCTTTGATTTTTGATCCCGCTGATCAAACAGCACCTTGACTCTCTGGGTCTCTGTCAAATCCAGCCTCAGAACCTGGGGGTTGTGTTTGACCAGGCCATGTCTTTGGAGACACACTCTAAACAGCTCGTCCGAAATTGCTTTTGTCATCTTAGGAACATCTCTAAAATTCGCAAAAGGTTATCAAAGAAGGATCTGGAAATGATAATTCACGCTTTCATATCAACAAGACTTGACTACTGCAACTCTGTTTGTACCTGTCTGAATAAGTCTGCTTTGAACAAATTGCAAATTGTTCAAAATTCTGCTGCTAGACTTTTAACAGGTGCCCCTCGAAGGTCTCATATCACACCAGTCTTATTAGATCTCCATTGGCTCCCTGTAAAATTCAGGATTGATTTTAGTGCTGACTTTCAGAGCCTTAAACGGTCAGGACCCACATTACATCCTGGACCTTTTGAAGCGTATTCCTCTGAGCGCACTCTCCGGTCCTCTGGCCAGAACCTGCTTGCTCTCCCCAAGACCCGTTATAAGACCCGAGGGGACATGCCATTTCAGTCTGTAGCTCCCAGACTCTGGAACGCCCTGCCCCTGTCCATGCGTCTGGCAGACACTGTTGTCTCTTTTAAAAAGGATCTGAAAACACGTTTTATTTAGGAAGGCTTTTGGTTGATGGG